GAGAAATCAGTTAATGCACATGGCAAAACGCAAGTGAAAAGGCTAAAAATGGTGATTGACCTGTTCTAGAAAATATCTTCAATATTTATAATGCCAGCAATGGGATGACAAAGTAATACATAATAGTAATATGTAATATTTATAATGCCAGCGATGGGATGAGAAATGTAAATTTAGAGCTCTCTGGAAAAGATTCCCATGTTTGCCTGTGATCTGTGCCACCCAGCAGGGAGGCAGAGGTGTGCAGAGATGTGGCCAARGCCATTAATCCCCAAATATCAGTGCAGAGCCATTACTGCACTCCCTGCCCTGCGCTGCTGTGTACATTTGCAAAAAGTGCRGGGTAATCTTTAACCTTTCCCATGCCATATCAGCTGTCCCCTGCATCCATTAGGGCTAACGACCTTGCTCTCACATAAGCTGTTAGTCCTCATTAAGAAGTTATCAGGTAACAAGAGAAAACAGATGCAGCCTCTGCTAAATCACTTTACCACCRAAGGATTAAAAGATACGGAGAGGGAATCGGCCAAAGGAGTTATGAGGTGAGAAGGACTTGGTTTATAATTTGGTGGGAGACATGTGACAGAGCAAAATACATTTTAAATGGAATGGGTTAAAGTCAGCACTGTCCCAGTTCCTTTGTTGCTGATGGGAACCTGACAGTGATGCTTCCTTATAAATAAAATTAAAATACTTGATCCAGTTCCTTTTGTAACCATGGACTCACARTGTGCAGACACACACATTATTTATGAGTTCATGTGTACCCTATCTACTTAGAAATACTACTGTTCACATTCGTGTAAATATAAAGAAATACATACATTTAATTAACATAAATTAATGCCCTTGTACCTCATTTAATTGAAAAGTAAGTACAAYTTTAATTAGATGAAAAGAATCTAAATGCACCATTCAGGGCCTGTTAGGCTGCTTTGTTCCAACAAAGGCCTTACAYCCTTTTAGTGACAACAAACATATTGTTCCTATTTCTAAGAAGAAATACATTTTATATGATTTATTTGATTGCAAATGAAAAATGTATAGAAAGCAAAAAGGGATATCAAAAAAATCTGCCTTGGGTGTCAACACTGTGAGGTTGAGCCTCACACTCAGTTTGAACAAAGTGAAAATGGGGTTTATTCTGTAAGAAATTCCACGTGTTTGTCCAACTGGACTGAGAAGAACCTTTATCCTGTGGAAGGAACCTTTCCTGTCTAYGTGCACTGAGTGTATTCTTCAGCACCTGTAAGGAATGATGTTTTCATTTTTCCAAACACACCTGTTTCCATCTTTGCTCATCATTACCCCAAATGTGAATCTTGACACACTTGCTGTTTCCAGAAATTTTCTGTTTGGTCAAACGACAGAAACTGTCAGAGCTTTCAGAACATGAACACCCAGAAAGCCACCAACATGATCACAACCCTGACCTCAGTGGTTTGGGTTAACAGGGACCTTCCCAAATAACTCCCAAGTTTTTTGATTAAGAAGGAAATATCAAAAGCAGCACCTCCCACTGAGGACAAACTCCTGGCCCCACCAGGACATGGGTCAGCAAAGGGAAAACCATTACAAAAAATGTCCTGTTCTGCCACCAAAACCTTCCAGAGAGGAGCTGAGAGGCAATTCTCCAAAGTGACCCTGCTGAAAGCTCCCAGCTTTCCTTCCTCTGTTAGATGAAGGTTCTTTCACTTCATTGGGAAATTGGAAGCCAACCAGAGAAAAGGCTGTAACCCAAGGTAACCTGGCAAAACAAGAACTTTAATGGAATCACTTCTGAACCAAAAAGCAGCAGTGGAGGGAAAAGGAAAGGACACTCACTGCCCAAAAAGCTGATCCTGTGCTGATCAAAGCAAAGGGATCACAAAACCCTGCAGCTRACAGGACACAGCAGCAGCAGAGGTTGGTAAATGAAGAATTACATAAGGAAGGAGTGAGGCTGATGGTGAGGCAATGAGATGGACAAAGAGCAGCAGATATTTGGAGCATCTACTTGCCAGCAAGGAAGTCAGCCCTGCAGTTATCAGAGATGAAAACTTGTTAGATAGCAAGCCAAGCCTCAATGAAATCACTGATAAATTAAACATTGCAGATTTACTGCGGCGCACTCGTGGGTAACAAATTAATACACTGAGGCTGAGACACTCCTCAAGAGCCAAATCATGCAAATATTTAAAACTATATTAGAATTAATCTTGTCTATTACAGTAACATCCAGCAGGCAGGAGCATGAGCAATGTGCTGTGCGAATCCAGAGCAGTTCAGAGACCGTGCCCTGGGGATTATCCCTTTTCCTAACTCTCACTGCGAGTTTATCTCTGTACAGAGGCTAACAATCTTTTCTTTCCTATGATTATAAACACATTTTATCTTCAGTATCTACTCACACGATGCAATAGCACTACTTCAGTGTGATAAATTCAGCTTAACAGCAGAATTTGTGGATTATGATCCCTGGCAAGTACTGCTCAGCAGGGAGGGTCATCAGCTGCAGGGATCTGTTTGGAGGATTTTGCCACATCTGATCCAAACTGTGGCTGATCACACTAAGCCAGTCAGTTTTCCAAACTTATCTGTCCTATAAAAAATATGTTCATGATGCTCGGATTGAAGGAGTTTGGGGAGATTTCCACCCACACCTTTTTTTTTTTTTTTTAAACTGTGCTGATGGTGAAAGTACACAGAGATCCAGCAAATGCCACAAGAGGAGCAGCAATTCCAGCTCCCCTCAACAATGTAAAAAGCTGTGATTTTTCTCCTTCTCAGGCCACACTGTGATTGTGCTGGGACATGTTTGTTTTCATGTTTTGTTTTCACAGGAGCTGGCCTGCCCTGTGTCCCTCTTTGTGGCTTCTCCTAACTGCTGTTTTCCTCGGTGCCACCGAGCCTCCTGTCCCGCGCTCTCATTTCATTCCTATTATTAGGTTTGTTTTGTTGCACATATCAGAAATGAAAAGGCTGGTGGTTACAAGGGAAGCTTGTAATCAGCACCGAGTTCACCCCACAGTGCCAAAACTCACYCTGTCTGYGTGTGTGAGAAARAGAAATTGCTTGGCAAAATGTTGCTGCAGCAAGGAAAGGAGCTGGGATGGGGGGGAGTAAAACAAAAGTTGTGCTCAGTCTTGTTTTAAGATTTTTTCCAAGCCATGGTCTTCTTTTGATACTACAAACCCCYAGACATTTCTCTGAAAACAGAGGGATTTTATAACATCATGTGAAGTAAGAAAACGAGGCAATGGAACCTATATGTAAACAGTCATTAATAAGCTCTAACCTTCAAAGAAGGTAATTAATTAGCTCCAGTACTGTGCTGTCACCCTTCAGAGAGGGGAAAATGCATAATGGGGGTGTGATGGAGTCCAAAAAGCACCAGGCACTTGTAAAGTCACTTTTCATGATGCTTAAAAGACTCATAATTCACAATGTTGATTTCTAATCACATAAACTTGTACCACTATGAATAGCCATTACACAAATCCATCCCACTGTCACTTCCCTCTAATAYAAATAGCTGTTTGCAATAAATAAAAATGCTAAAAAATCAGTTCAGAAACAGGAATAGTTTGTGGCAAGCTATTGAGATTTGCAGGACGGGGAGGGCAGGCACAGTGCTGATGGCTCTCAGTGCTCTCTCCTCTCTGGGAAGGGAGGGGGGTGATGACACACAGCACAATTCAGCAGGGAAACCTCATAATTATGTTCCACCAGCAGCTCTCCCCGGGCAGATGATGGACTCACTTTGGCAGCACTAATGACTGTGGCAGTGTAAGACTGAATGTTGTCTCCACAGGCTCCACCACGGGATTGATGGCATCGGATCAGCTGCAAGAAGAAAAGAACAGCAACCGAGTGACTGCTCTGAAACTGCACAAACCCAGAGCCCATTACCAGAGCTCTTATTTATCATGTACAGCGGTGTGTTTTTTCCCCTACAAATAGCAAAAAGCCCTGCTGAGACACTTAACCCCTTTTTATAATCTTCTGGGTGCCACCCAGACTGTCGCGTTCCCCCCGCTCCAGTTTTCAATTACCAGATGAGTGCTCGCTAAGAATTCATAAACTTTGAAATGGTGGGATTTTTGGTCTGGCAGCGATACCACAAATAAATTTAAATAAATATAATCAAAAGCTTTAGCCGTGTATATGTAACATTAAATATCAGACATTCTAAGAATCCGAGTGTGGCTTCCCCCTCGTTTTTATGACGAGCAAGCAAAAGAAATGACAAAGGAAAAGAGTTGTTTGAAACTTTGCATTTAATAGATTAAAGGAATGTACATGGGGTTTGCTTTTTATTGCCTTCCTTCCAAATCAATAAATCAAAACAAGACTCTTGTACCTGCCATCACCCTACAAAAGTAGGTTTTGCCTTTGAACCTTAACTAACAATAGAATCTGTGCTTCTGACTATGTAAAATTAGGAAAAAAAAGGAGATATTTGTTGCTTGCACATAGAACATGTTGCCTGTTTAACTATTTGAGCTGAAGAAAATTAAAAATTGCTGTAAGATGGATTTGTTTCTACAGGCCTTTCTGTCCTGTTTATACTTAAATAACTAAATCAAAATACTTAAGACTAAGGAAAAGCCCACATTAAATTTACCTGGGAACACAAAGCCACTTAAATCCCCTTTGTGATATAAATTCTTTCGCTGATCATTTTGCTGATATTTTGGCAGCAATACTTTTTAAATCCCACGCTGACAAGGGTTAAGTTTTCCAACACCAGAAATGTGTGGCACTAAGGGAAAGGCAGGCCTGAATTTGGGAAGAAATCAGCTCTGCTGGAGGAGGGATAACAGCAAATACATTTCTAAAATCTGCCTCTGATAATTCCTGGCTCAGCTCTAGAAACAGCTTCTCCAGTCACAGGTGGGAGGGAGAAAAAACAGCTGCTTTGAAATCAAAATAAGGTATTAGAAGCTGAATTTAGGCTTCACTGCAAGMTTTAAGTACACAGCCACTTCCCTGGGTAAAAGCAGTGATCATTTCTTTGCTTGGGTTCTATTTTCTTTGTCTCTAGAAAGAAGAAGTCTTTAAACGTTTTCTTTTTTTTTCCTGGAGCTAAACTTTTTCAAAGATGTTAAAAAATGGACAATTCAATGCTATTTTCTAATCTGCAGAGTGCATTGCTGTTGGTTCAGACAAACCCAGGCTCTGTCCAGACTCAGTTTCCCCAAACACAAATAGGAACTGKTTTTTGCCTACCTTCAGAAGTGGCTGTAATTAAATGCTTTAAACTTTTAAAGYACAAAATGGGTTGATTATTGAGTTRCCTCACTGAAAACACATGTTGATGGCTGTCTCCTCTGCCTTCCAAGTTCCTGAGCTTAAATCAATGTGCAGAATAAAGATAGGATAGATAAAAATACCTCTTGGGTCTGTCATTTTAATGCAACCCCCCTCACAGACCTGCTTTTCACACACCTTTTTCTGAGACCTTTTCCTTTCTTTTTTTTTYYCCCTATAAATATAAAATCTAGAAGTATTTTTTTATATTAAACCCCTCCTTACCTTATTTTCTGCATAGGCAAGCCAACGGCTTCCAAGAGCAATGGGATTCATGTTTGGCCCTGGACAAGGATAACAGCCTGCAAAGTTGGAAAAGRCAACATTAGGAAATATTCTTAATGACTTCTTCCAAAGAATTTTACTTATTGCCAAGAAAACAAAAAGCCTAAACAAAAGCCTTCCAGTTGCTAATATCACTCAGTGGATGCTTGCATTTTTGTTTCTAGAGATAAGGCTGTGGTTAAATGAGCTATTCTGAACATTTAATTATGTGTAAATATTCCTTTCTCCTTATGCTTGCATTTTTTAAGCCATTTTGATATAAAAATGGTATTTTGGGGTGAAGGAATATCGATGGCTGACTCAACTGGGTTTGTATCTTCACATTTTAATTCATTTTATTTGAGTGATGCCTTTCTGTTGGTGAACAGTTTGTTCCCTTCAAGCTCTTCTACATTTTTATTCAATGAAAGGATGTATTGTGCTTTTGGTTTTGCTTTTAACATTTCGATATACAAGCCCTCAGCCTTTCAAAATGCTTTGGTTTTGATTTTAACAATTCCATATACAAGCCCTCAGCCTCTCCATATACTTTTGCACAAACTTAACTTTACACAGTGGGAAAATTCGTAATTCCTTTAAAATCAGTGGCAATGTTCCCACTGTTCACCTGCTTTTTATTATCATTAAAAATAGATTTATACATTTAGACAAAGATAGCATAAAAAAGAGAATTATGCCTGAGGATTAAAATGTGAAAATATCTCTAAGCGAAAATAGCTGTGATTGAAAACATGGCAAGGCTTAAAATGAATCAGGCCCATATTAAATGGCATTTAATATATAAAGTATTTTTAATATGTATTTTTATAAAAGTGAAATATTTTTATAACTAAAATAAAGAATTTGTATTTAAAAATATATGTTTTTACATGAAATAATGAGGAGGAAAGAATGGGGAGAAAGAGAAGGCTATCAAGCAAATGGTTAATCTCAATTTTCATCAGTTCTTAGGCTAATACAACCAATTTAGCAATTTAAATTCTCTCCCTGATTGGCCAAGAAACAAAATATTGAATCCCTTACAGACATTTGTGTTGGATTTACAGGAGCTGCTCCTGCATCCTGGGCACAGGAACACCAGAATTGGGCACACAGCATTGCAGGACATGCACAACACACAACTTCTACACAGTTTAGTGCACAAAATAAATTTTTCTGTTAAAAATTAAACAAAAAAATTAACAAAAGAAAAAAAAAAAGAAAAATTTGTGTCAGATTTACAGGAGCTGCTCCTGCATCCTGGGCACAGGAGCGCCGGAATTGGGCACACAGCATTGCAGGACACGCACAACACACAACTTTTACACAGTTTATTGCACAAAATAAATTTTTCTGTTAAAAATTAAACAAAAAAATTGACAAAAGAAAAAAAAAAAAGGAAAATTTGTGTCGGATTTACAGGAGCTGCTCCTGCACAGGAACGCCAGAATTGGGCACAAGGCATTGCAGGACATGCACAACACACAACTTTTACACACTTTATTGCACAAAATAAATTTTTCTGTTAAAAATTAAACAAAAAAAAATTAACATAAGAAAAAAAAAGAAAGAAAAAAACCCAGCCACAGCCATTTAGGCTCCTATTCCCCTGGGATCAGACTCTGACASTGCTCAGTGAGGAAAAGCCACCAGCTCTCCCCAAATATCCTGATTTTTCCCAAAAGGCTCCAGAGCAGCCCAAAACACTCAGTGAGGCCAGCAGGATTTAGGAAAAGGGGGATGAATTTATTTCCCACACCTGAGGAGGCCTGGGGGACGTTTTTGGAGGTTTAAATGGACCTTTGACAACACCTTGGATGTGGTTTGGGCCCATGCAGACCCTGCCTGGATAAATAAACCCGGATTTCATTCTCCGGGGCAGAGCTCTGCAGAATTCCAAAGATCCCATTCTCTCCCCTTTTCAAAGGTCAGAAAGCAGAAAAAGGAGAGGATGGATTCATCCATGAAATTCATCCACTGAAATCAGGGTTGGAAAGGCAGAACCCGGTGAAAGGAGAAGGGAATGTCTTTACAAACAAACTCTGACTCTGGGCTCTGGGGTGAGATAAGGCTGATACTGGGAGATAAAAAAGAAATAATGAGAAGGATTTCTATAAGAATTCTACTGATTGACTTATTTTAGATTATGTAAATAAACTACTAGAGCAGAGATACAGAGATGTAAACTGAAGGGGGGGGGAGGCAATTTATGATAGAAGCGGGGCATGAATAAAGTTGCAGGACTCTGTCTCCTTTTTAGACATAAACCTCTAGTGCTTGTGGATTAATTTTCCTAACACCAGCCAGGGCTTTGTGAGGGCTCTGTGAGGCCTCATGGCCGCCCCAATCTCGGCAAAGAAAAGCAAATTGTGAAGGGACGATGCCACAATTGTTATTGTGCTCCAGGAGTGTGTAAAATGTGGGCAGCCAGAGCCTCTCAAGGAACAAAGTCAGAAAAAAAAAAAAAGGTTGTAAATAGAGCTCTGGGTTGTAAATATGAACGTGTTCTTCTGATGACATTACAGATCGGGAATGGGGAGGTTTTAATGCCGATTTCTGCCTCGGCTGCTCTTATCTGGGTCAGGAAAGGCACTGAGGTCCCCCCAACCTTTCTTTTACCTTCCCTTTTATGTATAAAATACTGCATTAAAAGCTGCCAGATGATAACCCTGGTCATGTAAATCTCTACAGTGACTTCAGAACCGGGGACTTGGCGTTTCCCAAACTTGTAACATCCCCGCAGGAGAAAACTGAAGGAGTCTGAGCAGCAAAAACCAGCAAAAAATGAGTCTTGCTTGGAAAAGGGAGCTGTTCTCAATTACTTCAGGGAGCTGAAGTCAAAGAAGAACTGCAAAAAGTATTCTTCAAAGCCAGAATTGATCACTGAATAGAAGAGTTATTTAGGAAAAGCTGGGAGAACCCACTGCCTGCAGTTTGTCCCGTGAACCAGGCTCAGTCAATCAGACTCCACACACAAATCAGCCAATTCTAAGAATAAACTCCACAAAGGTCAACAATTCAGCTCGGTCCTAAACTCTGCTCTCCGATACGAAAAACAGCGTTAAAAAAAAAAAAAAAAAAGGAGCTATTTCCTCCCTTTCTTCTCTTTGCAAGTCTTTGCATTTTGGAAACTTGCAGCAGCAAAAGGATAAACAAAGGGTTATACTTTATGGGAAGGAAAAGCAAATTGTTTTTCTGCTTTCCAAAAAAACAGCTGGAGTCAGCAGAACATCATCTACGAGGCAAATGGAAAGGCCATCCAATCCTCAGCAGCCTTGCTCTCTTAAAGATTAACTTCTATTCCTACTAAACTCCAAAACAACAGAGGAAAAAGCCATTCTAAGCAATACCAGCAACTTCAGCGTGTTTACAGTAGGAATGGACAGAAGGAGAATGCAGAACTGTCAAGAAGACCAAAGTTTCCAAGTTTTAATGACAGCATGGAGAGGTCATCCAAGAAAGGATCACTCAGGGGAAGTCCTTGCAAAATTCCAGCAAATGGAGCAAGTACTAAAAAACATCTGATCTTAGAACCAGCTTAAGTGGGCCTATCACCTACAGAAATATAGGGGAAAACCTACTGGGAACTGCTTTTTAGCTTCTGATTACACAGTTATCCTCTCCCTCTGGGCAGAGGAAATGGGTAACTTTAAAACTGGGAAAAAAGAGTGGGAAAATTGCATTTTGAAAATCAGAATCAAAGTGCAAGGTTTTCTGCTAATTTGATTGATTTCCTATGCCCAAAAACTCCAACTGGTGCTACCCTGAGCAACACTGAGGAACAAGAAATGGGCTCCAGGATCCCTGTGAACAGGGGCTTGGCTAAGGGTGCCCTGAGACCTCCTATTCTTGGTTTTCCCAGTTCAAAAATGTAAGTGTTACCTATATCAAAACAGCCCCATGGGTAAATTCTTCAGGGTTACGCTTCCTTTCTCCCCCCCCTTTTTTTTTAATAACTAGGTTATAAAATAAGAAGTGAACTAAGCATGTAGTTAGTGATTATTTGGATTCAAAGATGCTTTTAACTTGCTTGCTGTTGCGCTGATTTTATATATTTTGTTTTATTTTACTGAGAAGAATGGAATCCCACGTTACCTGAAGTTCTCCAAAGACCTACACCAGTGTTTGCTCTGTGAGTGAGCAGAAAGGTTTATTTATTTTCCATTCTTTCTCCATTGCTGGCCTTGTGGTAATGATGAAAATCTCTACCACCCTTTGGGAATCATATCCATAAATCCAAAATAAACCCAATCACCTCCTCTACCCATCCCTGACAATTCACACAAATATCCACTTCTCTGACTCTGCATCTTCCCATTGGTCTTGAGCTCCTGCAGAAAACCAAAACTTTGATGTTTTCCTTGTTTTCCAAAAACTCATCCTGGATCTTCAGTGATGGCAATGGGAACATTCAGAAAGCAGCCAAGAGGAGAAAAGCARCACATTCCTCTCCTCCCACTTGTCCTTTAAACAAACAGCACATTGGGAAAAAGCTGCTCAGAGGAACAGTCACTGCAAGCCCTGTCAGCCAGAACAGAGCTGGGGTCAATAAATCACTGAGCACACTGCTCAAAAAACCTGAACCATCCTTATTGGGGCAGCTCTTCAGCATCTCCACAGCTCTTTGAGAAAATAMAGGTTTAAAGAATATATAGATACATTTAGGGATAGGATATTCTCTTTTGAAAMATCTGATGTTACCAGTCAGAACTCRGCTCAGCTAAGTCAGGRTTTATTTTCAGTTTGCAGAATTACCCAGAGCACAACTTTATTTCTGTCTCAAATCTCACTAAAACACACTGCAAAATGACAAAAAACCCTACTGAAAATTAATATGGGAATTAATAAAGATGAGGGAATGAAAAAGCCAAATCAGAATCATCTAACACTGCTTGCCTTCGAACACATCCCATCATGTTCATCTTAAGACACCACTGGTTGGTTTTTAATTTCACAGCACATTATAAGTTCTTTATTCCCTACAACAATATTTATAGTCCAGAAAAAAAATAAAAATCTGGTTTTGTTATTTTCCAGA